GCTGTGCAGTAATGCAGAGAGACTGCCGTATATGAGACAACAACGTCAAATCTGCCACTGCCACCAAATCCACGAATGGCCTCTCCTCAAAATGAGTTCATGTTTGCCGGCAGTTTTGAATGAAACTTATATAGTCGAAGCCGTACACAAATAATTACGACGTCAAATCTGCCACTGCCTAACCTTGATTGTTTCGGGTGATATTCCTGGAAATTCTCTGGGTGTCGAAAGTCAAAATAAAGACTCATTCTCTGTAAAAAGCAGAGGTACTTGAAAGTAATCCGAGTGATGGCATGTGTCAGCAGCAACCATCCACTTATCTGGCTATCGATGGTCTCCTCTTTCAAGCGTCGCTTAAAAAGAAGCTGAGAGTGAGTCTGACTTCCAGTTATGTGCAAGTACTAATTTGCGATCGAAACGAGTGAACAAATCGTAGAAGGAGTGGTGGTTGCCCTCTCCTCATCCCCCGCCTCTCCAATAAATTCGATATGAAATGAGGCTCGCTAGAATCCAGTTAAGTGAAACTGTTGAACCCTCGACCTTCAGCAAGACCACAGCGCCACTTGCCACTAACGCAATACCAGCTAGTTCTGGATGGGGCTGTTCGTGAAACTGTTCCAAAATTTCCAAGGACACATGAAGCTTCGGCTCCAGAAAAGATCAGTGATATTTTTGCTTACCATGGTGATAATACTTGAAGCAGTCCGAACCATAACGGCACAATCCAGCCTCATGATGCTATCGAGCTGAAGCACATGACGTCGTCCGGACTCCGTTCCCACAATGTGACTTGAGCTTGATGGACAACCGTTCTGTAAAGCACACTTTCCTAAAATATTGAAAAAAGCCTTTCGAAATTTCGGGCATTTCGAAAAATTTTAAAGCAAAATCAGCAGCTGAGCTGCAGGAAAAGATTGATGGATTATAGACCTCTAAAAATATTGATGTCCTGGAATGATTGGTGCCATGCTTTGGTGAAAATAGCACAAACGCATTCACATCGGAGACCACGGAGAGGTAGATTCCTGAAAATTTCCGTTGCAGAGTTGGTAGATTGTGAAAAAGGAAGAAATGAAATTAAAATTTGCCGTTTTTTATTGTTTCTTTATTTTTATTATTATTTTCTTGTAATTATGGGTTTTTGCTTGCAGCAAAGACACATGTTGCGACAATCTTGTCGGTGTGTGTGTGTTCGTCTGTCCGCATATTTCTACTCGCCAACCACACAAGTTTTGGTGCTGAAATTTTACCAGCGCGTTCCCTAGCCAAATGCGACCCAGGAACGTGATATCAGCTGTCACGCACGTCTATGTCTCATGTACAGACGTGTGAAAATTTCGGCGGGAAAACTGCTAACTTGGGAACGGGAAAGCTGAGGAGCTGAAACTTTATGGTAATGTTCCCTATTCACGTACGACCAAAAGATTTCATATTCAGCTAATTAGAATTGCCAGGGACTCAAATACAGGCACGTGAAAATTTCGACAGGAAAATTGCTAACTCGGAAACGAGGAAAGCTAGAAAGTTGAAACTTTGAGGAAATTTTCAGTACTCAAGTGCGGCTGAAAGGTTTGAAATTCAGTTCTTTGGAACAGTCCGACAGTCACATGCGGAAAAGTGAACGTTTTGGAGAGAAAATTGGCAAATCGGGAACGAGAGAAGTTGGAAGACTGGAATTTTAAGGGAATGCTCCCTACTCAAGTTCGTCTAAAAGTTTTCAAGTTCGACTCTTTTAGTGAGGCCTTTTTGGCGCACCTGCAATTTTCCATTTGTCCAGTCGCTGAAGCCGACATCTACAATTGACATGTCCACACACTTGCTCAAGTAACGTTCTGAATTTCGAGAATCAGTATGTCACAAATTCTAGCTACTGTGATTCGTTGCGATCTTGCTACAGCACTAAATAATGCAAAAACGCATGGTCGCACTGGTCCGCCTAGTGCGATCAATCCTGGGTTTTTAATGCGTTTTGTATTATGCAACAGCTTCACAAAACGCACATTGTCACGGGGTTGTCGATGTGTTGTCTGTGATGGCGAGCCCAAAATGGACGCTATTACCAGCGTCGCGCCCACGCACGGGCCCGCCAAAGTTTTTTACGGGCAATCTTCTAACTCGGAAACCAGAGAAGCTGGAAAGCTGAAATTTTAAAGGCGCGTTCCACGTCCAAGTTGGTATTGATTTCTAACTCAGTTCTCTGGTATGCGTGGTACCTACGTACGGGCCTGCAAAGTTTTTTTGGGGTAAGTTGTTAACTCGAGAACCTGTGAAGCTAGAAGACTGGAATTTTTAGGGGACGTTCCACGTCCACATAAGTGTTAATAAGCTCAAACTCAGACACTGTGTGGGCGTGTGTCCTATGCATTTTATCCACAACTTTCAATTCGGGAACCACAACAGTTAGAAAGCTGAAAATCTAAGGAAATGTTCCTTGCTCACGTGTGACCTTTTAGATTTAATTGCAGTCTTCCACCGCGCGAGGGTACCACGTACAATCCGGTGAAAAATTTGGCGGGGAAATTGTTATCTCGAGAAATATGAAGGCTAGGAAACGAGATTTTTTCTGCCCGCGAATTCAAATTCAGCCTGTACGTACGCCTTTACGCAGCCTTTACGTAAGCCTTGGCCTCAAAGTGGAATTAATACCGGCAAAAATATTACTCAGAAAAAAAAATTTTGATGGAACTAAAACCGGCAAAAATATTACTAAGTAATCACTGTTCAGCGCAGATTGGAGTGGGGCACTAATTGCACGTTGTGAACTTTATGCCGTGCGGTAAATTCCAAAGTTTAATTTGTGCTGCTCAGCTAATTTTAAAGTTGTAAAGCGGTTTCAATTTGGACCAAGGGTCATAGAATGGGAAACAGTTTGAAAATTAAATTTGTTTAACTCATTTTACATCGGGCGGTCATTTCATCCTCCAAGGCTTGAAATTCATTCATTTTTATGCGTTTTTGCATATATGCAAATTGCAAAAACGCATATTGGGAAGAGGCTGTCTG